TCCCCGGCCGGTAGAGGGCCGTCTCCAAAGCTGCGTCCGCGGCTGCGATCTGTTTGTGGCAGTGTTTCCTTTCCCTGGGTCCTGGGCAAGGGGATGCGCTGGTGCCGGGCGGTGAAGGAGCAGTGCGGGCCTGGTGGGTCTGCGGACGGAGGGTTCCTAGGGGAACGTGTCCTCGCTGCCTGCCTTCGCACGCGTCGGTTCGGGGCCTGCATGGGGAAGCTGGGTTGCCTGCGGTCAGCGGAGGGGGCCAGGACATTCAGGTTGGCTCTGAGGAGCCCCTCGCGCTCCGCTGCCCCGTAGCAGCCTTGAATGCTGAATTCAGCCTTGCCCGGGCGCTGCCTGTGTGCACCCCGGGAGAAGCCCGGAGCCCTTGGCCGGCGTGGCACGGTGCCCCCTCGGCAGCGTCGTTCTCTGCCCGCAGGCGTTCAGCAGAGCTCACCGCATCGGGCAGAACAAGAAGGTGATGATCTACCGCTTTGTGACCAGAGCCTCCGTGGAGGAGCGCATCACCCAGGTGGCCAAGAGGAAGATGATGCTCACCCACCTGGTAGTCCGCCCGGGGCTCGGCTCCAAGTCAGGCTCCATGACCAAGCAAGAGCTGGACGACATCCTCAAGTTTGGGACAGAAGAGCTCTTCAAGGACGATGTGGAAGGTGAGGTGGGCAGGCGCTGGGGGTTCTCTGCGCGAGGCGGGGCCCTGCCTGAGCGGCTCCTTCTCCTCCTCCTCCGCCCACAGGCATGGTGTCTCAGGGACAGCGGATCGCCATGCCGGATGCTGTCACCCCTTTCTCTGACACGCTGTCAACCAAAGGGGGTGCGGCGACTCCTGGCGTGAAAAAAAAGCACGGGGGCCCCCCACCAGGCCGCCCCCCCAGTGGTTTGGCCCCCGTTGCTGGGCCAACCCGTCCCCTCGCCCTGGCCCTGCACCCACCCTGAGCTCGCCGGGCTCTGGCAGCGGGCTGCCTCTGGCACGGTGAGTCCTGCTGCCATTCCCTTCGTTTTGGCCTCCAGGTGACAATAAGGACGTGGATGACAGCAGTGTGATCCACTACGACGACGCTGCCATCTCCAAGCTTCTGGACCGAAACCAGGATGCAACTGATGACACGGAGCTGCAGAACATGAACGAGTATCTCAGCTCCTTTAAAGTGGCCCAGTATGTTGTGAGAGAAGAGGACGGTGTGGTAATGTGATCAGTATCATGTCTTACGATCGCACCTCGGTGTACGTCCCGCTGTGTTTCGTCCCCTCCCTTTGCTGTTCGTGCGAGTGTTTCGGTGCGGGGCAGCACCGCTCCCTGCTCTCCATCGACGGCTGCCATGGACGGGTCCAGACCTGGGGTCCCGGGGCTGGTGGGGCCGGCCGCAGGCAGAGGAGGCCCAGACGTCCTGGTGCTGTGCAGCCCGTGCTGCGAGCCGGGCTCTGTCGCTGTTGGCACAGGACCTCATTTCGATCAAAGCGTCCGTAGGAGCCTTCTGGAGGCCCTTCCCCTGCAGGCTGGGGGTGGGCATGGTGCTGCTTCCGTCCTGTGCTGCTGTCGTTTGTTTTCCCAGTAGCTGGCTGGCGTATTTCCTTCATCTGTTGATGAAGCTGACAGTAGGCTGCTGTTCTGGGAGGTCTCTGCAACCTGTGGTTTCTCCCTCGGTGTGAGTGCGGGCGCTGCAGGGCGGGATGGATGGCAGCGTTCAGAGGAGCTCTTTCTGGGTGGGAGCTTGTCCCAGCCCTTTGACAACCTTCCCCCCAGGTCAGCACGTTTGGGCAAAGGCCCTGGAGCCAAATTCAGGCAGTGGGTTGGTGCCCTCCCTCCCTGGAGTGCCGTTAGAGGACGGGCAGCGAGGCGATGCCGGCAGGTCTGCGGCTGCCCGACCTCGAGCCTCTTGTCTCGCGCTTTGCAGGAGGAGGTGGAACGCGAGATCATCAAGCAGGAGGAGAACGTGGACCCTGACTACTGGGAGAAGCTGCTGCGGCACCACTACGAGCAGCAGCAGGAAGATCTGGCCAGGAACTTGGGGAAGGGGAAGAGGATCCGCAAGCAGGTCAACTACAACGACACCTCGCAGGAGGACCAAGGTAGGGCTGCGGCCGCTCGGCTCGGCTGGCTCGGGTGGGCTGGCTCCGAGAGGCTGCGGGCCAGTTGCCCCGCGGACGTACTGGCTGAGGCGCTGCTTGGTGTTTCTCTGCACTTTGGTAGATGCACGGTTCTGATTCCTAAACTTTCCAGGACAGAAATTCTTCAAAGATTTTTTGCTTTCATTTTTGGTCTCTAAACTGTTTTTGCCGGAAGAATTTAGGAAAAACATGTCAGTGGGCAAAATATTTTAAATTGGGATTTTTCTGTATAGGAGAATACTGATTTTGGAAAAGCTGAGAGCGTGGTTTCCTGCTGCTGGTGTGCTCCTCTCTGGCTGCCTGGCAGTGACAGCAGTTGCAGCCGCGGGCGGGCTCTCGCCTGTCTGCGTGTCTGTGCCAGGCAGGGTCCCACCGTGCGGGTGCTTTTCTAACCCGGCCTCCCTTGCGGTCTGCAGAGTGGCAGGACGAGCTCTCTGACAACCAGTCGGAGTACTCCATTGGCTCCGAGGACGAGGACGAAGACTTTGAGGAGAGGCCAGAAGGTCAGAGTGAGTTAATGCGTTTGATGCTCCCCGGGGTTTTGCTCCGCGGGCACCCCTGGCCCTCCGGCGCAGGGCTGGAGGGACTGGCGTGCTCCTGGGGCTCCGTTCCAGGGGAGGGATCCCCACTTGCTGGCCAGGTGAGGAGATTCCCGGGGCAGGGAAGGCAGCCGCCCGTTTCCTTCCCTGGCCGCCG